CCAGGGATGAGGCGCAGGGAGCCGGTCGGAGCGAGTGAGCTAGCCAGGGAGCCAGCGCCTGACGTTCCCAGCGAATTCCGCGCAGCTCCAGGCGATCCCGGCCCTCCTCCCTGCTCTCCACCGCCGCCGCTCTTAAAGGGCCAGTGCTCTCTCAGCGCGCGGACCCGGGCGTGGACTGGGGGCGGTACCTCAGCCAGAGGCTTCTTGGTAGCAGGTGCCTGCGGTGGAGCTGGACAGGCAACCCTTTTTACTCTTCCCAGACGGGGGGGGATCCTCCCCAGCCCGCCCCTGTCACTCCCATCCTTGATATGGGGGAGCCGGGTAGACCCCCCCTAAAGCGGCCCGCCTCACAGAAGGAGGGGCAAGAAGAAATGAAGACTTCCGTTTATCCCGCCTAGTGGGTGGGGGGGATACTGAGGCAGCAGTGGGCAGTAAGAAGGGCGGAGGAGGAGGGACCCAAGTGTCTGTTCTTGGGCTATAAATAAATAAATAAATAAATAAATAAATAATAAAAAATCTAGAGATTAGTTGGCCTGAAACCTCTTTTCAAAAGCCTGAGGGTGTCTTTGGCACTTCAGGATTTGTCTCCACTGCCGTCAGGCGTACGGTGCCTTGGATACGGAGTACCGAGCGACAGAGGCGCGGTTTCAGTCCTGGGTTGTCACAGACCTGAGGCATGGAGATGGGCAAGTTACTTAACTTTTCCGAGCCTCCAAGTTCTTATCTGGAACGCCGGGCAAAGTGCTGGGGTGAGGGGTTAGGTATGCTTCTAGTGGCTCACCTAGCACACATTAGGGGTCCAAGCAAAGAACACTATTTTGTGCAAATGAACTGTAACAATGCAGCACCACAGGGTGCTGGGCGGGCGGGCAAAAAACCCTGCGGAGCGGAGCTTTAAGTGCTAATTCTATTCCAAGAGGAGCTTGAAATCCGGTCGGTTTGGGTGCTGAAGGCTTGAGGTGGGAAGCCTGGGTCTAAGGTCCACAGAGACTGCACATCCAGACCTAGGGAAGTACGGGGCCCAACAGACTGGCGGCCGGTTCAGGAGGTGAAGGCACCGCTGAGAGGGCAGGAAGGCGGAAAACTTCCCTCTTGGCCCCCACCTCCCAGCCTTGGAAATGAGAGCTTTCCTTACCTGAGGGCGGGTTTCTCTAGAGTAAGTCCTCAGGTCACCCAGCAGGCCTCAAGTTTTAGGAATCTGCGAAGATCTGGCAGAGCTTCAGAAATGGCCAGTTTACCGACACGCCAGGTGAAAAAGAGCACTGTTAAGGGAACAGGCAGGAGTTAAGGTGGTGAAGATAGATTTTACTTTAAAAAATTGCAATAGAGACTCTAATATAGAACTGGGCCTGATTCAAAATACAGCCAGAGCAAGTGGGGGGCGGGGCTGCATTGGTGGATGGAAAATTACTAAGAGGAGATGTCAAGTCTGGTGGGGATTCTGGCTGAAGGCAGATAACGGTGATCAGATATCCCCTGGGGGGCAGTGGGGATGCTGAGTTTGATCAGATATCATGGGTGGGGAATTCTGCTAAACTGACTTAGCAAGATTCTGGCTAAAACTGGATTCTAGAAGGAAGTACAGGGATGGGCCTTGTTGGGGAGAAGGTTCAAGGGAACTGACCAAAGTTTGGACAAGTAAAGAATCTTTGTCAGTCCCCCTTCTTGTTCAAGGGAAGAAGAGGTATTCTTTTCTCTGATCAATATATGTCCATTTCTCTTTGGTTGTTTTCTATTCATTTAGAACCAGCTGAATCATCTGTTGAGACTTGATGATGGTTGACAATAGCTGTACTGTATGACACACCGACATTTGATGAGAGGGATACCTTGAAGATAAATGCGAAGATGAGGACTAGAGGCTGAATTGGTCCTTCTGCCTAACTTCGCAGACCTTCTACCAGAAGTCCCAGAATCTGTTGTCCTTCTTCAGTGGGTAGTGTGAGCGCAATGGCAGTGATGCACACACTTCTTTGTTCACCTCTTGAACCTTCCTGGTTATGGCGGGGATGTCAGGTAGGTTGCTGGGGACAAAGGTGCAACAGCTGCTTCCAACCATTGTGCATGAGCCCCTCTTTTGGGTCGTATACAGGGTGATGCATTTATGGAGAACAGCACGCCAGGTTTCTCGTCGTTGGTGAGTCACCGGTTTGAAGCCAGTGGATGTTATTCGAGGACAAAGTGAATTGCTTCGGCAATGAGTAGATGATTCTGTTGTTGAGTCTAACTTCTTGAGCCAGGCGATAAGATTCTTGCGGATGGTACCCAAAAGGTGGCAAACCTTTGCCAGAAAAGTACTGTGGTCATGCATGGAATGAAGGCCCAGTTCCGTAGCTGTTTTTTCTGAATTGTCTCCCCAGGAACCAAGATCATTCACAAGGGGATCTGTGATGTCCCATTTCCCCTTTGTTCCTATAATGAGTGTGAGATGAACCTGAGGGAGGGGTGGTTGTTTTAGAGATTATATAAGACAGGAAGAAGATTGTGGGGCCTAGAGTGAGATGAAGGGATTGGTAAATTGGCAAAGTGGCAAGATCTGGCCCAGTTGGCAGGTAACAGCCAATAAACTTGAGTTCCACAGACTAAAGAAGAATCACCTGAAGTTAGCCAGGGGGCATAGAGATAGGTATTTGATGATGGAGGGTAAACCAAAGGAAGCTAAATTTGAGGGTGGGGACAAGATTTGTCTGAAGGAGTTCCCTGTGTGGTTGGGTTGGATCCCAGAAATTAGGCTGAGAGGGGCAGTGGGATTATTTCCACTTATACGAGGGATATCCAGTGGCATGGGGGTTTTACGTTGGATTCAGTGACAGCTAGGTAAATGTAACGATGAATGCTTATTCTTAGAAAGGGGCCCATGGTAAAATGACATGGCAACAGACATGACCCATGTGACAACAGTCTAGAATAGATGCAGGGTTTTTCTCACAGTGGGGGGTTGTACACTTTAAAATGGTGGAGGGAAAGAGAGGATGGGTTACAGCAAAACAGGTATTCTGATTGATCAAAGGGATCTGGACAATACCATTTGTGCACACAGGAAAGGGAGGACCATACCAGCAGTCTGTGGCAACGAGTTTAAAGGTTCTGTGGGCAAATAGTCTTGCTGAGAGTCAGGGGAAAACAGGGCGTGGGAGAGGAGCAGGAACTCATAACTTTAGGGATGGAGAGATAAAAATAAAGACTCATCTCAGGTGAGGACAAGTCATGGTGAACGCAGAGTTATTATGGGAAGAGCAGGAAGGGTCTCCAGACAAATGGTAAGGACAAGAAGCAGAGGAGAAAGGGGGGGAGCACCCAGGTGGGTCTTGTTCCGTGGTCTTGAGTGGCAGCTGACCACCTCCTGACATTGTCTACTTGTTCCAAGGTTCATGGGGGATCTGCTTCTGGCCGTCATCTGCTTGGTGTGGGGGGTTGCAGGGAGCTCTCTATTGAGCCTCAGTTTGAGGTCCCTGCTTGAAATCCTTCTGCAACCTGAAAAGCTCTTGTATTTCTTTCGTTATAAAACATGAGTCCAAGGTTGAATACCCTGTGATTTGACAGCAGTGTGAGCAATGAGTAAAACGATATAAGGTCCCTTTGGGGCTCAAGATTGGTTTTCCGATGGTGGCATTTCTAGAACACTCCATCGCCTACTTGTGAGTCACTTGAGGGATGATCAGGAAGTTGTAAAGGGAAGGCAGTCAAGGGAAGGCTTGACTTGTTGATTATAGGATTGAGTGTATTCTGTTAATCCTTGACAAGTATCTCAGGGTTGTCACATGAAGTTAGAATCTTCCACTAGACAAGATGAATAAGGCATCCTAATGGCCCTCCTGTGATCATTTCAAAAGAGGGTAGCTTGTGTGGCAATAGGGGTGAAGATCTGAGAGGCACAAGAGCAACGGGCAGTTTTTATGGCCGTGGTAAGTCCAGTTCTTCAGACAGGTTAGCTGATTTGGTCTTGAGGATGCTGTTGGCTCTTGCTAGGGCACCAGATAGCTGAGCATGGTTAGGGCAGTGGAGTCTTTGACTACTGTGTTGCCCTTTCGATTTCCTGTATAATTTTACCAGTGAAACATGGGTCACTAGCGATGGTGGAGGGGATAGCCCAAGTGGGGAAGATTTGTTGCAGAAACACGTTGGCACCTGATATTGCTGAGGTATTCCGGCAAGGGAGGGCCTCTAACCATTGAGAAAACAGGCAGGTGAGAGCAAGGACATGTTGGTTGCCTTGTGCGGTCGGTAACCAGATACAATCTACTTGCCAGCGAAGGACGATCTGAGGGTAGCTGCCTCCCTTCCTTGCCCCACCTTGACGGTTTTTCCAGGGTTACGTTTCTGGTAGGTGAGAAAAGTGAACTGCCTCATCCAAATAAAACCAAAGGGTCCAAACTACTGTTTGTCTACTACACCCAGCATTTTGTCCTTTCCATGTGAGTCATGTTGTGCAAACCATACACACCATACTCGGGAGAGACTTAAGAGCTAGCTACCAGGGAGCCATCTCGGTGATTCCAAAGTCCATCTGAGTGGCTCAGACACCCAGCTTTTCCCCATCCAGTGCTTGCTGAGTATTTTGCTGTTATTTGGGCCATGTGGACCTCTTTTATGATTTCCTTAGGCGTTATCTTAAATTTGTGCTCTCTCTCAAGGGAAGGGGACTAATCCCACTGAGGTCTAGGGCCTCAAAGCGGGATGCAGGGGACATAGTCCCAAGGCTTGGAAACTGCTTGGATTCTTGGGTGGTTGGGGAAGAGGCTACTAATTCATCATACTTGTTGGGCCTCATCTGATTTTTTTCGTGCTGTTTCCCTCAGTTTTAACCATCTGCTGGGGTAAGAAAAATGCCTCTAGAAGTTCTGCTATTTGGGGCCCATTTTTTATTGTCTTGTGTCCTCTCTGTTTCTATCACATACCAAAATCATGCACTAATCCACAGGTATGGTGGCTCGCAGCATAACCTTCATTCCTTCTGCTGTTATGCAAGCCCAAGTGAGAGCAATTAACTCAGCTACGTGGGCTGATCTGACATTTGGCAAGACTCGATGTTCTAGAGGTTTATGTTGATCAGTGATGGCATATCGAGCCTGGAAGGCCCCATCTTCCTTCCAGAGGTAGGAGCCATTGACACGAAGAGTGAGGTCAACTTGGAGAAGGGGGTTTTCTGATAAAGCTCATCTAGGATAGAATAATGATCTAGTGTTAATGACACAGTTGTGAGAGGTTCCATCAGTGGATAAAGAAGCAAGGTGGCAGGATTAAATTTTTTTTAATTGAAGTATAGTTGTTTTACAGTGTTGTGTTAGTCTCTGGGGTACAGCAAAGTGATTCAGTTATACACACATATATATATTGTTTCTCAGGTTCTTTTCCATTATAGGTTATTACAAGGTATTGGATATAATTCCCTGTGCTATACAGTAGGAGCTGTTGTTTATCTATTTTATATATAGTAGTTAGTATCTGTTAATACCAAGCTCCTAATTTATCCCTCCCCCTGGCAGCGTTAAAGTCTTGACAGCTCTGTATGGTGACATGAGAAGGAGAGAGTAGCAGGATTTCGTAACAGGTGAGTCGAGAGGCAGAAAAGTACTGTGTTTTCTTGAAGCACTACGGCCTGTGCAGCACGAGGGACACGTATATCAAACAGACGATCTCATACTAAATCAGAGGGAGCGTGGACTAGCTTGGATGCGGTAGCCTTGGCTCATGAGCAAGGGGGCTATGCCTTAGCTGCGGGGTTGAAGGCCCAACTATAATATCCCAGAGGTCCATCATGCTTCTCAGATGACACTCTGAGGGCGTGAGCCTCTCATTCACGCACAAACAAGGAAAAAGGCAGAGAGTAATTGGAAAATTTCAGGATAGGAGGTAAAAGCATAGAGCCCTTAAGTTCTCACAAACATCTTTGGATGAGGGGGTCCTGGACCACTGGGTCTAGGGGTGCTTCCCTAGTCATGGCATAGAGGGATGACACAGTCATAGTAAAATCTGGTATCCACGTCCTGCAATATCCTACAAGACGTCTCCCCGCCCCCCCAAACCTGTCAGTTGTCATTCTCTTTTAAGAAGAGGAAAGTGTTGAATAGCAGAGCCTCGGTCTGTGGAGATAGTTTTATCTGGAGCTGAAATATCATGACCCAGATATCAGACACGCAGAGCATAGTTGAATTCTGTCTCTAGCTACCTTGTGGCCATTTTTTTTTTGCTAATACCGTAAGAAGGTATACAGTGTCCAAAAGGAAGAAGCTATCATAACTGCCAGAATGTAGAAGGAGGTCATCTTCATATTGGATTAAAACGGAGTCTCCTGGGAATTTTAATTCCCTTGAATTGGCGTTTGGGGTGTGTGAGAGTAAGTAGGAGCCTCAGGAAATCCTTGGGGCACAACAGTCCAGGTATGTTATTGATCATCCCAGGTGAAGGCAAACAAGTATTGGAGTTCCTTGTAAAGGGGAATCCTAAACAAGGTGGAACACAAATTGAGGGCTGTGAACTATGGGGTGCTGAGAGGAATAGCAGACAGGATGGTGCTAGGATCAGGCACTGTGGTGAATCTGGGTTTGATGATTTTGAGAAATCTCAGATCTTGGACTAACTGATATCCTTGCCCATTTGGTTTTTTGATAGTCCAGATGGCAGAAGTGCAGGGGCCAGAGGTGGGAACTAGAAGGTTTTTGTCTAATAAATCTTCGATTAGCAGGCAGAGACCCTCAAGGCCTTGTCTTAAATGACATCAGGAAATCTGGGGAGGGGCATGGAAGGATCAGTTTCTACCTTAAGGGGTTCTACAGCCAGATGCATCCAACATCAGTGGAGGTTTTTGTCCAGAAATAAGAGGGAATTCTAATAGCTGATTTAAATCTTCAGGAAAATAAATGTTAATTAAAGAGGGCAAAGGACCTCAGAGAAGTTGGACCAAGAGAAAAAAAAGCCTATTAGGAGACAGACGTGAAGGGGACGAGTCAGGGACCCACAGAAGTCCTTCAGAGGCACAATGAATGTTTATACCTCAGTTCATGAGAAGGAGCCTTCCTAACAGGCTTACTGGGCAGGTAGAACCGAGGAGGAAGCCGTTTGGAGCTTTCAGAGGTCCTGTAGAAACAGTAGGGGTTGAGATGGAGGCAGATCATGAGGTAAGTTATCATAACTGGCTGCAGGTAAAGTTCATGACTCCAGGGAAGGGTGTCAAAAGACAAGTGGTGTTGAGGTGGAATGT